TGTTTTCTGTGATCTCACTTCGGATTTGAGTGGGTATGTTTGTTCAAAACCTTTATGTTTTGTCTCATAATGGCGTTTCACATTGCCACTTTTAATAAGTGCCACGGTTTCTGAACATATAAGACACACTGGTTTTGTGCTCCCTGTGGGAAGTATGAACAGAAATGAGTCTGTCCATTCCGGATTATATGCTCTATTTTCGCTGTCAACTTTTCTTTTTTTGGAGAGCGACATTTGTTCCTTATGTTTCTCTCCCTTTGCTGTCTCAATCGACTTGTCCTCAACTTTCTCCGGCACAGTCGTCCGTTTCTCTCCCTTTGTTTTTCTAAATGTGTCGCTATCTTTCTTTTTCTTTCTCTAACTTTCTCATCTCTCAGCGCGGCCGCAGCGCTGTCTTGAGACGTAATGTTTACCGCCGAGAATGCATAGATTTGATTGGCTGAGTGGTATCACGTGGGATGGCTTAACTCGCATGCAATTGGTCTGTGCGTTTCCTCATCCGCTAAACCACTACCGTAAATACTGCAAAAGCCGCGCCGCCGGGTAAAAAAAATAAAAACGCCGTCAGGTTTTAATTCACAACCTTCTGTTTTGGCTGGCGGTCCGGGTCCGGATGGGACGGCCTCTGGGTCCGGACCCGGACCGTGGTCCGCCAGTTAGTGACCTATGCGCTACAGTACCTCTGTCTGTGACTCACAGCTGCTCCTATGACCTGATTAGTGGAGTCACATGATGCAGCTATGCTTTCTGTCAACAGACCAATATGATAAAGACACTCGCCCCCCCTCCACCCTGACCTCTACTCACTCTTAATCATAGACTGTCTGTCTATTTCTCCTCCTCTCTCTCTTCCTCACCACCCCTCTCTGTATCTACACCCCCCACCCCACCCAGTACAATAATTTCTAAATAAAAGCCCCATGGAGGGAATTCTTACTGTAATGTTTGTGATGAGGCCTATTAATTAAAAACTTCTTAGTTTGAATAACAAACATTCTGTCTCCCAACCCCCCCTCACCCAATTCCATCATTACAAAATAAAAGCCTCAATGATTATCTGTACCTTAACCATGAAGCTCAGAATGAAGCGGTTTCGTTGAAATACGTTTTGCTCTTTCAAATACTACTACAACCACTACGAATATTACTATTACTTTTAGTAGTACTACTACAATTGATACTTCTACTACCATACTACTAGTATTTCTACTGCCATTAATACTACAACTACTAATGTTATTACAAATACTACTATGGCTAATAGTATTAGGGCGAGTGTCTTTATCATCATGGTCTGTTGACAGAAAGCATAGCTGCGTCATGTGACTCAACAAGTGTTCACCAGCGCAAACATCTAAAAAATACGACGTTTTTACGAGACCCAAGACTTTCCGTACTTTTCTTTTTATGTCTGTCCCGGTAATAAATACGGCTCCTGTCGCGGTTTACAAAACGTGTACCTTCTGGATTTCTTTGAGCAATATGTCACCAGATTTGTATTTGAGCCTAAGGGGCTTTTGGCAGAGGTTGTGTCACTATAAGTTCCATATTTCTTTAACCAGATTCTGACGCTAACCCACACTCTAGCATTTCCAGGTCTCACTCTAAGAAACGCAACGGAGCGAAGAACTACTGAAACATAATCAGTGATTATGAAAAAAGTAGAATAGATATCAACAAGAAGTTTTTTTTTTCGTGAAATAGTTGAGACTTGTGTCAACGTTTGAAAGTTTAAATGGTGTCTGTAGCTGAAAGATTGGCGGAGCAGAAAAATCTGAAAGTTGAAGAAGTTTAAGAGGATTTGAAATCGATCTCCATTGGAAATCCATGTTAAAATATTGATGATTATTGATTTATATAAATTCTAGCATAAGAGGTAGAAAGCTGAAATGTCATAGCAGGAAAGTCGGAAAGGAGCTGAATATTTTAATATTTTAACAGTTTTAATAGCTGAAAGTGTGAAGGAGTTGAAACGTGTGGCAGAAGAAATAGAAGAATAAGAATAAGTCGGAATAAAGATTCGAAGAACAATACTTAGAATGCTTAATGCATTCCAACAATAATAAGTTGAATAAAGATTCGAAGAACAATACTTGGAATGCTTAATGCATTCCAACAATAATAAGTTGAAATAAAAAATAGAAGAACAATACTTGGAATGCTTAATGCATTCCAACAACTAGCTGAAAATGCGTTGGAAGGCAAAAAGCTGAAAGCTGAAATGAATTTTTAAAAATAGCTGAAAATACAGAAAGTTGAAGAATTTGAATACATTTGCTGAAATTACAGATATTAGAAAAGCTGAAATTATTTGAAATTGCTGAAAATACAGATACGGGAGAAGCTGCATGGAATTTCAATAAATTTGCTGAAAAAGCAGAAATGAAAACAGCTGAAATAAATGTGAAATATTGCAAAAAAATACAGAAATTAAAATTAAAACATTGTAATACAGGCATAAGAAAAGCTGAAATTGTTTTAAAGAACTGCTGAAAATATAGGAAGTGGGAAAGCTAAATTTCAATAGAACTTCGAAAAAATTCAGAAGTTGCTGGAGCTTGAATGAATTTAGAAAAATACAGAAATAACAAAAGCTGAGATGAATAAAAATAGGTTTTAAATTGTTTGTAGTAGTATTAGTTATAGTTGTAATCGTGGTATTAGTAGTACTAGCAGTAGAAGTCGGTTTAGTATCAATAACATCAGAATGTCCTGCTTATCCCTGGATGACACCTTGGGGATGTGTACAATGAACCTGAAGTGGAATTATCATGTAGCTATTGGTCGTTTCCATTTTAAATACCATCTGAAATTGATTATGAGTCTGGTGGATGAGATTTAAGGGAAAGTTTGGTGATCTATGACATTTCGCGTCATGGCTGCTGTTGGCAGCCATGTTCTTGGCTGCTTATCTAGCCCTCCGGCCTGTGGCCCGACGTGCGGAGTTGCGAGGACCCGTCCAACGCTGCTCGCAGCTTTAATTAGGATCCTTGCAAAGACTAGTCGTAGAGGAACTTATTGTATTTCGAAGAATTATTATTATTATTATTCTCACGCAACGATTGCCTTTTTGGGGATTTTATCATATTCAAAAAGTTGTTAAATTTGTCACGCATATCAGAACTGGTGGAAAATATGATAATTTGGGGGTCTCGCATTTGGGTAGAAAGAATTGTCTCCATAGCGCCCCCTAGAAATTTGAAAAGTTTCCCACTAGGCCAGTTTTTTCCACCGATGCCTGATTAACTTGAAATTTGAAACATGCTCTACAAAAAGGTCAATCATGGTATGCAAATGCGCCAGCTAGATTTTCCGCCATTTTGAATTTGGTGAAAAACACGTTTTCGGCCATTTCTCCGAAACGCCATGTCCGATTGTCCCCTTCATAATCTTCTTGTTCTCCATCCTTCCCCTTTCCATACTCATGCTCCGTAGTGCGCTCTTTCGGCACAGAGGACCGCCCCACTGATCGGCCCATACCCCCCCGCGATGACACCTTTTGAGTACATCATCTTCCGGGGCAGCGACATCAAGGACCTGACTGTGTGTGAACCACCCAAACCTGTCTGTTGATCATTATTGGATCAATGTGTGTGGCTTAATCTTGCAAGAGTCATAACTTCCAAATGAGTTGGCCTGCCCTCACCAAACTTATAACACATGTGAACATTGAACCCCTGAACACACCCTGATTTAAGAATATTTGAAGAATAGGGGGCGCTGCTATTACTCGTTGAAAATCTGCCCTTTTGGCCTATTTTTGCCCTATTTTTGTGATTTCCTTGAGTTGTAAAAGACCCAACTCCTCCCAGGGATTAAACCCTATTATTTTCAAATTCGCGCAGTGTGATCTTGAGGATCTAGGCTCTAAGAATTGCATTTTGCCGGAAGAAATTCCAAACTATGTGTGTAGGGAGCATTTTTGAAAAACCACCATTTGGCATGAAAATTGAAGTTGTTTTAACTTGACCATACTTTATCTAATCTGCTCCATATTTCTCATATAGTATGAACTTCTCACCCTGTAGACATCCATATGATCATTTTTAACCTTTGTCATAGCGCCACCTGAGGAAAACAGGAAGTTTATTTTTTTTATTTTACCCCCTGCTCCTCACAGGTTATGCTCCTCAAAGGTCAATCTGATCCCTCTCAAAATTTCCTAGCAGAGAGCTAAGACCTTGTTAATGCTTCACTGTGAATATTGTAAGAAGCCGATAATCGGTGGCGAGAGGGTGCATCGGAAAAGCTGATCCTTCGCCAAGAACAACTAAACCGTTGTAAATCTACTCCACATCATCGGATTTATTCCAATTCACACATGTTTAAAGTAAAGTAAAACACGTAACGTTGAATTAAGTCATAGCGCCACCTAATGGTAACAGGAAGTCAAATTTGGTCACCTTGGATGTGTATTATCATTCTGAAGTGAAATGATCATGTAACTATTGATAGTTTCCTTTTAACTCTAACCTGAAATTGACCAGAGGTTAGCTGGGGAGTGGCGTAAGACCTTAATAATGTTAAAGATCAAATTTGCAAAGCGGGATTCCTGGCGTCACTCCACACGGTTATTGACGACTGACTCTCAGACGCTTTTCCGACGGCCGCAGGGGTTCTTGGCTGCGTATCTAATTTTATAAATGTAATTTTATAAATGTACAATTGTTATTATTAATGTTACAAATTATTTATGTAATTGGTATACCGCACAGAGATCCTGGTAAGACCCAGGACTCGCTGGGGGGATTAAATGTCCCAGCTGGCATGGACGCCCCAAAATTAGTGTTAATTAATGTTGGGGGTGGGAGGAGTTCTGGGTCAAACTGCTGGACCGGCCGTCACCACGACAAAAAAAGGCAAAACAAGCGTTAAACAGACAAATAATAACAACAAATAAATTCTGTCACATGGTAGAAAAACGATGCAGCTCTTGTTGTTGCACCTACTGCAACAGATATTCACGTGACTCTGCCCCTCCTCCATCGCTAGGAGCTTACCTAAGCCCCCGGGTCCAAACTGGGGGGAGACCAGCGGGCTGCTGTTGAACTGGTCGTAGGCAGGGGCCCGGTTGAAGAGCCCGTAGGACCCAGCGGACTGGAATGGGGTCGGAGCAACAGCAGCAGACGAGCTGGAGCTAATGGAGGACTGAAGAAGGAGATGGTTAGTGTCACTCTGAGAAGATGCAGGTACTCTGTTAGGTGCTCAGGTGGAGGTCTACCTGCACGATGGCCGGGTCATGAGGGAGAGAACACGGAGGTTTGGGTGGTTCACACACAGTCAGGTCCTTGATGTCGCTGCCCCGGAAGATGATGTACTCAAAGGTGTCATCGCGGGGGGGTATGGGCCGATCAGTGGGGCGGTCCTCTGTGCCGAAAGAGCGCACTACGGAGGATGAGTATGGAAAGGGGGAGGAGGGAGAACAAGAAGATTATGAAGGGGAAGACAGAGCTCAATCGGAATACTGCAGGTTTACTTAAGCCTTATCCTTCTGCGTTTTCAGAGAGACGCAAGGACGCGCAGATGCAAGAGCCCCTTGCGTGTCTTTTCACCCCTCTTTGCGTGTGTCATTGAGTCCCTAAGCATATCCTGATTTTTTCTGAATATTTGAACTTTAGGTCAGTGGTCCCCAACCACCGGGCCGCGGACCGGTACCGGTCCGTGGGCCGTTTAGTACCGGGCCTCACCACAGAAAGCTTATATTTTTTTTTTTCTTCTGAAAAATGTTTTATTTTGAAAATTGACCGGATTTTCTCCTAATAATGTGCGCTCGTCCCTCTGCCAGATTCCCTACGCGTCACCAGGCGTTTTTCTTGTCCTTTTACTGGGCACGGCAGTTTCGCCGATCTAGAGAGTCACGTCTATTTATTTATTTGTTAATTTATGTATCATAGACTTTATTGCCCCGTGCATCGCCACTGCTGCTTTTCATCGCGGACACATTTGCCCCGTATTTTCCTCCACAACTTTGTTCCTCTCGACCGGCAAACCGGCGTTTGCGGAGCTCTCCCTCCGTGAATCCAACCCGCTTCTACAACCCGCCAATGACGGCTTGTATAAGCGGTCATATTTACGCATTTCTTCCGACAAAAGTTCTTAAATCTGCTCCGTTCTCTCGTAAACATCCATCGTTTTAATAATGGCGGTATCGGGCTATGAAAGCGGAAAATGTGAGACTCCGTAGACCAGTGTTTTTCAACCTTTTTTGCGTCACGGCACACTTAAGACACAGAAAAAATCTCACGGCACACCAACAACTGGAAATGCTATGAAAATCAATCCCAAACATAGTTTCAGCATGAGCATAATATACTCTAAGAAATCAGGGAAACGCGTGTTCTATTTGTTGTTTTATTAAACTTAACATCATCCTAATGCCAAGATGGCACAGGCTTTATGCACAGGTATCTCTTAAGCCTGGTTTATGCTTCTGCGTTTTCCCTAGCGTCACTTTTCACACCTCCTTGCGTCCTTGCGTGTTTCGAGCCATTTTTTTAGGCTTACGCACCAGGCTGCGATTGGTCCGCTAACTACGTCCTTTACAGAGTCTCACATTTCCGCTTTCATAGCCCGATACCGCCATTATTAAAACGATGGATGTTTACGAGAGAACGGAGCAGATTTAAGAACTTTTGTCGGAAGAAATGCGTAAATATGACCGCTTCTACAAGTCGTCACTGGCGGGTTGTAGAAGCGGGTTGGATTCACGGAGGGAGATCTCCGCAAACGCCGGTTTGCCGGTCGAGAGGAACAAAGTTGTGGAGGAAAATACGGGACAAATGTGTCTGCGATGAAAAGCAGCAGTGGCGATGCACGGGGCAATAAAGTCGGAAATGATAAATAAATAAACAAATAAATAAATAGACGTGACTCTCTAGGTCGTCTTCAACAAAAACACGTTACTCCGCCTGTTGTTCTGGCGGTGAATTGCTCTGCAACACACGCAGAACCATGAATTGAAACCAGTGCGTCGACGCAACGACGCAAACGCAGAAGCATGCGCCGGCCTTAAATCTCACTTTTTTAAATTGTCGCCTCAGCAAATCTGCCTATTAATTACGCTGCGTACCGCCACCCACAGGCAGAGGGGAGTATTGAGCCTTCATACCACCAACAGCGCGACGACACTCACACACAAACACACAAGTTGGCTCTTTTTTTTCACCAATGAAGTGACAGTATGTAAAAAAAAAAATTCACGGCACAGTTGACAGCCTCTCGTGCCGCGGCACACTGGATGAAAAACACTGCCGTAGAGGATGCAGTTAGCGGACCAATCGCAGCCTGGTGCGTTGCGGGAGGCTCCTCTCCCCAGGTGTGAAAAGGCACGCAAGGGGGGCTTGCGTCTGCGTCGCTCTGAAAACGCAGAAGCATAAACTAGGCTTAACCTCGCGAGCGAGGAAATATCTCGCGCGAGACGGACTTTTTTTTTAATTCCGATTATTAACTTTTCTGAATCGAGACAGAATCGTTCTAGAGAGAGCTTTATGGTGACCATAAAAGGACTTGTTTGGAGACTGAAAGAATTCTTAGATTACATTCTAAAACACACATCTAAGTCATTATTTTATGATTCAAGATCAATTCTCACAACAGAGTTCTATTCAGAGTGTAAAATGACTACACCATTACACGTTGTATATTACTTAATAACCTTGAATAAACCCTAAAACATTTTACCACTTCTACTATCCATAAGGTACAATACATCAGATCAAAGTAAAACTCGTTGTCAATCAAATCTGACAGCATTCACGTTAATAAATAAGGAAAAGTAGAGCTGGCCAACATGCTAATGCTAGCTGTTGCTGTTGTATAGCTGACTCACGTTGCAAACAGATTAAGGTGTATTTTACATATATTACACGCTTATTTACAAGATGATCAGACCTGTTTAATGGCGTCATTGCTTCGTTACCATTTACTTCTCATGCTATAGCATCCTAGCGTTGTCTAGTTGATAACGCTGACATTTGATAGCTTTAGCTCAGCTAACGCTAGCAGTCTGGGTTGTATCGCTAACGTTAATTGACAACGTTAAACTCGTCGACTCCAGATGGATACACGTCGGTCTGACACTGAACCCCACAGAGGGGGGGGGGCATTTAAATAACAATAGTAAATAACAACACCCGCTTAAGAGTGCACCAGCAGCTGTCGTTAGCATTAGCCGAATGCTACCTTTAGCCAGAGCCACGGTGGAGTTCTCGGTGTCGATGGTGTACAGGATTCCTTCGTAGCGGATGGCGGCTTTGGAGATCAAGCTGATCTTGCTGCCCAAGTAGGGCGTCCCGCCGCTCATGGTGTCCACTCCGGGGTCGGAAGTCCGAACGGAATGGACGGCCCTCCGAGCCGTGTGGTCGGCGGTAACGGATCTGCGGCAAGTTTCTCCGGGTTGCACTGATCTCTCTACCGTCACCGCTACAACAACATGGCTGCCTTATCCGCCATCGGAGGACTGTGAGCGCGGGGGCTAACGAGAAGACCGTAATATCGCGCGATTACGCTGCGCCGTGAGATCCAGATTTTTTGTGGGTAGAAGAGCAATGCATAAGAAACATTTCTTAGTACATTCATTGTATTACATAAAAATACATTCATCCAGTTCGTTCTCTCTTATCTAATAAAGATCATTGACAAATTAACGTAACGTTTCGTAAATAAAATGATATTTTGTTCCCGATATTGATTGTCTTTAATTTTGTGACTTTTTGCTTCAATGTTGTGTAACTGTGCTCAGTTCATCCAGCACAACACATTCAGGTCAAAGCATTTGGATCATTTTATATTCATCATGTACTTAATGGAGAAAAATGTTGTAATGTAAATGTAAATATAAATGTATTTTTAATGTATTAAATATGCTTACTCTACTGTATTTAGCTTTTTTTCGGTTAATTTGATCAACTGTAAGTTTCTTTTAAATGTACCCTTTATATTTTGATCAACTCGTAAGTTATTATTTTATCATTCTGAACAAGTCTGTAGTACACGCACCAAATCGCAATGTCAACATCGAACACGGATAATCTATTCCTCCCAGTTCTATGCTGGAAAAAGCCTCAGATCCTCCGCGCATGCGCATATTCTAAAATACGATTTGCACAACGGTCCGATATCAAAGATGGCGGGAGCCTCCGACCCGCTGGAGGACATGCTCTTCAATGAGGTGGACGAGAAAGCTGTTAGCGACTTAGTTGGCTCTCTGGAATCACAGCTCGGAGACAGAGAAGCTCCCGCCGCTTCGTATCCTGCCGGTAAACCGGAGGGAGCTTCGCCAACCACCGGTCAGTTCTCAGGGAAAGTGCGCGATCTGGCGGGTCCGTTGGAGCAGCCCCAACAAGGGCAACCAGAACCGGAACCCGTTAAAGTGCTGCCCTCCTCCGTAACCGCCGCGTCCGTGGTAACCGCCGGAGCCACAGCACCCACCACTATCTCCCCGTTACCGGGACCCGTAACTTTGACCACTCGGTCCGCCGCTTTTGCCTTCCACCGGGCAGCTCCCGGCGGCGGCCCCGTGGTGGAGGCGAACCGAACCGCTTCCCCCGGAAGTTTAAATGATGCCGTGAAGTTGGTGAACTCGGTCCCCGCAGCAACGGCAGTGTCGGCACCGGGGACCGGCTCGGTAATCAGCGCCGTCAGCACCGCGGGATCCACGATCATTGCCTCCATGGCCGCTCAGCCTCACTTCCCTCAGTCTCCCGGTGTGCCGCTGCAGAGTCTCCCGGTGCCGGTGGCTGGTGTGGCCCTGAATCAAGTTGATGCCAAGGGCGCGGTCCCATCCGCCTCCGCCCCCCCGGTGGTGAACCACGGCGCCCCCCTGATTCAGGCCAAGCTGCTGGTTCCCAGTCAGCCCGTCTCCGGGAACTCCGTCATTCTCACCGGAACCCCCCAACCCGCCGTGACCGGGCCCGGCACAGCCGCCGTCGTCCTGAAGCCGGCGGTGAATGGAGTGGGTCAGCTCACCATGGCTCGGCCGCCGGGGACCCCCGTGATGACCACGTCCATCCAGCAGCAGAGACCCGGCCTGGTAGCGAGTTCCCCCCGAGCCGCCGCTCCTCAGCTGGCCGTCCGGCCTCAACAGCAGACCACCATCCAGCTGCCCCCCGGCTTCTCCATGCCACCAGGTGAGCACACCTGAGCCCTCACCTGGTGTCCCATCACGGACAGGTGGTGTAGAGACACGGACAGGTTGTGTAGAGACAGACAGGTTTGAGTGTCACTTGTTGGTAGAACATAAACATAAAATGCGGTTTGTCCTAGTTTATTAAAATGTTTGAAGTTGTCATGACGACGTCCACTTTTAATAAACCCATCAAAGTCACTAAAAAGACTTTCACAGCCGTAAGAGAACCGAAAGGAACAAATGTCTGTTGACAATCTCATTACTACAATAACATAATATCTCCTGAAGGGATTCCGACCCATCAATAACATCACATGTCTCCATCAGGAGTGACCATGATGCTTCCTGTCTTCCTCAGGTATGGTTTTGGTCCGTACTGAGACGGGTCAGCTGGTTATGGTCCCTCAGCAGGTACTGGCTCAGGCCAAGAGCCAAGTGGGGGCCAACATCACCCAGAGACCCCCCACCCCAAACGCTGCCAACGCCATCCGGGTCAGCCTACCCGCCACGGTACAAGTGAACCCGTCAGGGTCAATGGTCATAGACAAACTGGAAACCACAAACACACCTAAAAATATAAGCCCCTCCTCTTCCTCCTTGTCATCTTCAGGCTCCTCAGACCGTCCGCCTGGCCACCCCAAACCAGACCAGAATGGTTCAGTCTCCGTCCTCCACAACTGTACAGGTGTGTCTTCTGTCCTCTCCCTTTATCAGCTCTGTCCTCACCCTCCGTACTACCTACTCTATGTCCATTGTTGCTTCCTGTGTCCTCACCCTGTTCACATCAATGATGGAAACCTGTATCCATGTGACGTGTTTCAGGACACCATCACGGTGTCCCCAGCCGGTGCAGGGGTGTCAGTAAAGATGCCCCCGGCTCAGAAGGCACAGACAGTGATCACAGCAGGGGGGACTCCGGTGTCGAAGCCTGTCTGCGTCCCGTCCAGCACCACGCACACCCCCGCCCCCACTCCGACTAACAGAGTCACCGTGGTGTCCCAGGTCTGTCTTCCGCCCTCCTCCTTGGTCCTCTAAATGCAGACAGGGCACCTGAGTAACCACTTGCTGTTCTTTGTTACCATGCCAACAGGAGATGCAGGAAAACGTGAAGAAGTGTAAAAACTTCCTGGCAACACTGATCAAGCTGGCGTCTCACAACTCTCCCTCACCGGACACCTCCAAGAATGTGAAGGCCCTTGTGCAGGACCTTCTTGTAAGATTTCTATTTATTAATATACAATTAATGTAATGTGCATTTCTACCTAACATCCATGGTATTATTACTATAGATCATTTGTGGAGGCCTTGGTGCTGAACTGATACATGTACACACACTGCTGGCGCAAGCGCCAAGTGCTTGCATATACAAACATATTTATGGGCATGTAGGGGTGTGGAAAAATGGGGGGGGGGAGGTGCTTCCTGATATAATGGTATATAATATATATATATTATATACATATATTTTGAAATTATAATGTATAATATATAATTTGTGTATGCACATAGCAGGGCTGTCAATAAACTAACGAGAAATCACTTTAGAACGCGTGTATTTTAGACACTGTTAATTGTATTTTAAACACAAACTTTACACATGTGATCATGTTGGATGTGGAACATGTTGAATTAGTGACTCTGCCGGTTGTCCTCGTGCACTTTGCTCTCAACTCTCCCATCATTTGACATATTTAAAGTGCCAACAATGTCCCCACATTTAGCCAGGACGTTTTCAAGCCACTGTCCTTTAGGAACACAGTGGTGGTCCTCTGCAGATAGATGTTGACATGGAAGTAGCCTAGCAGCTAGTTTTGCCTAGTGGCGCTTTAGGGCTCTTCCAGCATCTTTTCACCTGTTCTGCATCTCAAAAATGTTCTTCTGTCTGATCCAAACACCTCAAACTTCGATTCGTCTGTCCATAACACTTTTTTCCAATCTTCCTCTGTCCAATGTCTGTGTTGTTTTGCCCATATCCATCTTTTCTTTTTCTTTGCCACTCAGCATCACTGAGTCATTGTCTTCACTGTACACGTTTACACTGCCGTTTTGTGGGAACCATTTAAAGAAGCTGCCAGTTAAGGACCTGTGAGGCGTCTATTTCTCAGACTAGACACCCTAATGTACTTGTCCTCTTGCTGAATTGTGCACCGGGGCTCCCACTTCTTCTTCTACTCTGGTTAGAGCCCGTCTGTGCTGTTCTCTGACGGGAGTAGTTCACACCGCTGTAGGAAATATTCAGTTTCTTTGCAATTTCTATGTAATATAATGTAATATACTTCACTTCTAAGAACAGGGATAGACTGGGGAGTTTCTATACACCTATGTAGATATTTCATTAAAAAACGGATCATTTACCACTTGAACAATGAATGGAGTGTACATCTAATTCATCTAATTTAATCTTCATTGAAAAAAACAGTACTTTTCATTGAAACATATGGAAATTTCTAAGTGACCCCAAACTTTTGAACTATACTGTATGTGTGTATATATATATGTGTGTATATACATATATGTGTCATTGTGTCATTGTATTTTTTATATTTACTGGGGTTATGTGTTTATTCAGGATGCAAAAATCGAGCCTGAAGAATTCACAAGTCGACTGCAGGCTGAGCTAAAGTCTTCTCCTCAACCCTACCTCATCCCCTTTCTCAAGGTACTACTACTACTACTATTTTACTGGTACGATACTATTACCACAGAATTATATTTTGATGCCAGTTATTGTACACTTATACTATATAATTATGCCTAAATGTCTATGTATTTGTTCTCTGTAATTGGCAAAAGTGACGTAGTTGACATTGTTGAAGACGTTTTTGTTTTTGAGGTTTTTATTGCTGTTGTTGACATTGTTACTATTGTTGTTGTTGTTGATGTTGTTGTTGACTTTGTTGCTGTAAGGTTTTTTGATGTTCACGTTTTTGTAACTGCTGTTGATTGATGTTGTTGTTGTCCCTCAGAAAAGCCTCCCCGCCCTACGTCAGTCTCTCCTCAGCAGCCAGCAGTCCATTGTGACCCCTGGTACCTCGGCCCCCCACCTGGTAGCCTCCGGCTCAGTCACCACTATCAGGTCCCGTATGCCCATTAGCCCGGTGGGGGGCAACGTCAGGATGAATCCCCCCCTCACCAACACCATGGTAGGTCCGCCAGGCTTTGTGGTTCTGTTGTTTCCTTGGTTGACGGCCCTGTTCCTCGTGCGTGGCTAACTGAGTTAGCTGGATCATCGTCAGGATAAGATTACATAGATCTGGCTTTTTGGTCCCACCAAGCAAGTTTGTCAAAATCACCATAGCAACACATCGAAAAACTTGAATCTGCTCCAGAGCTGGTTAACTTAAGTGTAGTGACAGATTTTCGTAAGCCACTCTGCAAGGTGCAGGAGAAGATCCTGTTCCTCACTCGCTCACACAGAGATTCCAGTTTTTTTGTTTCTTTGGGTGAAGTTCCCGTTTATCCATTTTAATACTTTATATCACACTACTGTATATGCATTTGGGTTTCTCAATGTGCGTCCTGGGTAGCGGTAAAAACCGTGCAATCTCCCCGTTGCCCATGCATCATTACTTGGCTCAATTGCACCTGTCAGGGCCCTACGCTAACGTTTTCTGCAAGAAGTACATGTGCTCCTAAATGAAAAAATGTAGGAGCACACAAAGAAATTTAGGATGTCGGGGGGATAACGCGCGACTTCAAGCTTACGGAGGAGATGGCAGCAATGCGGGCAATGAAAGGAACCACAACGGGGAGTGATCTGTTCACCGAGGTAAACGCATGCATAGACAAACTGGGACTCCAATGGGACAGACTGGCAGGTGTCACCACGGATGGATGTCTGAATTTGACTGGGAAGAATTTTGGGCTTTTGAAAAGAATGCAAGATAAAGTGAGTGAACTCACCGCAGAGCAGAAATTGGTGTTCATACATTGTGTTATTCATCAGCAAGCGTTGTGTAAGTCAGTGCTTAAACTTAGGCATGTGGTTGATGTTGTTACTACAACAGTTAATTTCATCGGAGCGCGAGCATTAAATCACAGGCCGTTTGTTTCACTATTGTAGGAGCAAGAGAGCGAACATGGTGATGTCCGGTACCACACAGATGTCACATGGCTCAGTCTGGGCAAAGTGCTAAAAGGTTTTGAGTTCTGAAATCAGAGATAAAAGAGTTTAGTGAGATGAAAGACAAAACCATCCCAGAGCTGTCTGATAAGGACTGGATGGCAGATTGAACATTTGCTGTTGATGTGACTGCAGTGATGAATGAACTGATTACACAACTGCTGGGCAAAGGCCTTTTTGCTCATGAAATGCATATCCATGTGAAAGCCTTCATGACAAAGTTGCAACTAATTTAGATTAAACTAGGCAGCAACAAGCTCGAACACATGAAAACCCTGAAAGAAGTCAAACCATTATCTGATCACCGGCACAGGTACTCATCCATGTTAGCAGCACTGCGTGATAAATTTTCAAGGCGTTTTCAAGATTTCAAAAAGGTTGAGGATGAAATGCAGCTGGTTTCCTCTCCCTTTACCTGCAGTGTTGATAGTGCACCCACTGATGTTCAGCTTGAACTCATTGACCTGCAGTCTGATTCACTACTGAAAGAGCACTTTATAAAGGCCAGCGCATGCTTCTGCGTCTGTGTCGTTGCGTAGACGCACTCGTTTCACTTCATGGTTCTAAAGTCTTGCGTGTGTTGCAGAGCAATTCACCGCCAGAACAACAGGCGGAGTGACGTGTTTTGTTGAAGACGACCTCGAGAGTCACGTCTATTTATTTATTTATTTATTTATCAATTTATCATAGACTTTATTGCCCCGTGCATCGCCACTGCTGCTTTTCATCGCGGACACATTTGTCCCGTATTTTTCTGCACAACTTTGTGCACCTCTCGACCGACAAACCGGCGTTTGCGGCGATCTCCCTCCGTGAATCCAACCCGCTTCTACAACCCGCCAATGACGGCTTGTATAAGCAGTCATATTTACGCATTTCTTCCGACAAAAGTTCTTAAATCTGCTCCGTTCTCTCGTAAACATTCTTCGTTTTAATAATGGCGGTATCGGGCTATGAAAGCGGAAATGTGAGACTCCGTAAAGGACGTAGTTAGCGGACCAATCGCAGTCTGGTGCGCTGCGGGAGGCTTGCGTTGCTTGCGTCACTTTCGACGAAAGTTAGAATAGATTTATTTTTTATTTTTTAAGATCGTTTTCGTCACGTCTTAGTCTCGTCTTAGTCATGAAAAAAAGGTTTGTTAATGAAAATTTTTCATCATAGTTTTCGTCAACGAAATTAACACTGCCTTATAACTCGCTGTGAGTCACGGCTGCCTGTTGCATGTGTGAGAGCTGCGCAGTCAATGCGTGCTGGCAGCCTGACAGGAAACAAACAGTGAGCTCGCTCTGATTGTGTGCTTTTTTTAAAGTACCGGTGACTGCCGTGTGACACGTGACTTACGTGTGTTCGCGGGCCAAGCAGTAGTCAGGACCAGGGTCCAGACGGAACTACGATCTACGGAGACCTGCGAGGTGAGAAAGCACAAAAAACTCTGGGAAAGAAACTGAATTTTTCTTCTGCATTAATAAAATGCAGATTATTGTCGAAAGAGAGTGAAAGAGGAGCTCGGTGTGTCCTAAGAATAACAATGGAAGTTTATGCAGTGTTTTCTGATAACGTCGCCCAAAAGGAAGCATATACAGGATAAATGAAATTGGTCCAAGTACAGAACCTCGTGGGACTCCGTGACCAACATTGGTGGTCTTCGAGGATTCACCGTTTACAAGCACAAACTGGGATCGATCCGATAATTAGGATTTAAACCAGCTGAGTGCAGTTCCTTTAATAGCAATCAAATGTTCTAGTCTCTGCAACAGGATACAATGACCAATGGTGTCAAATGCAGCACTGAGGTCCAGCAAGAAAAGAAAAGTGATGAGTCCTTGGTCCGATGCCAGTAGAAGATTATTCGCAATTTTCACCAGTGCCGTTACTGTGCTATGATGCACTCGAAATCCTGACTGGAAATCCTTGAACGTCACATAATTGACATAATTGATAAAGGATCTTAGAGAGGAAGGAAAGATTAGAGATAGTAGCCAACACCTGTGGAGTTTTAATTACAGGCATCCAAGTAGGTATCAGGGCGAGGGCTGTCAAGGAATAATCTATATTTGAATATATACTCAAATAGTTGTTAAACATTTGAAACATTTGAATGTGAAAATTAATACTCTAATGTAAAAAAATAAATATATTTTAAAAAACGGCTGCGCAACTATCTGCTTTGCAGATGGGCGCGCGTCTGACTACTGACTGTGTATTGCATGAATAAATAGACTACTAATAGGCTACAGTTTCATGCACTGGTTTAATTCCTTGCCGTTTCATGCCAAGCAAAAGTTCCATGTTTACCAAAGCACAGCCCGCTTGGAGCGTTCATTGTGAAACTTCAATAATGTTAATGACATTTGTCTGAATCACTGAATGAAGCTTGCCACATTTGGTACAAGAATCACGACCATAAATTGCTTGCACAAAACTCTTGATCAGCACTCAGCATTTGTTTTATTGTTGTCGTTCATTTAAACCGCTATATGGCAAGCGCAATGGTGCGAGAGAGAGAGAGAGATCTGCGGTGGCACATATGGGGGCACAGGTGCAATTAGCCAGGGTAATGCATGGGTGAAAGGGAAATCGCACGGTTTTTACCGCTCCCAAGATGCGCAGCGAGATCACGAACCAAATATAAATGCAGTTGTGTTTTATAAAGTATAAAACTAATGAATGGCAACTTCACCCAAAGAGAAACACAAAGGCTTGTAATCTCTGTGTGAGCGAGTGAGGAACAGGATCTTCTCCCGCACCCTGCCGAGTGGCTAAAGAAAATCTGTCACTACACAAGTAAAAACCCTATCTCACTTGGAGAATCGAGATCATCTTAAATACACACCTGGAAGACAGCGCTGCCAAGGCGATCTGCACGAACTTCGAAACGAGCATGGATTGATCGTCACCACGTAAAGGAAGAAAGAATCACAGATACTGGGCGAAGCACACTCCCCCGGTTAGTACTCCGGTATGGATTAATGTTGCTTGTTTGAAAGGGCATCGCACATGCGACATTAGACTGCTTTGAGGATTATGCTGTATTGCAGCGGTTCCCAAACTCAAGAATGCCGCGGCCCACTTTGAAATCTAAAAATCTTTCGCGGCCCACCCAAACCTTTAATCACAACTCAAAACATAATGATTAAATGACCTTAATAATTTAACCAAAATCAAACATCTGCGAGCAAAAGTCTGTCTCGCGCGAGAAAAGTTTGTCTCCGCGAGGTATTTGTTCGCTTGCGAAACGTGAACTTTGTTGCTCGCGAGGAGAATCTCTGCTCGCGCTCGAAAAAGTTTTCTACGCGCTCGCTGTTGTTCTTTTTGACAGTAAGGTGGAGATCGATGCCGCGAAGTGCGTCCGCTCCCGCCGCCCCCTCGCCATCCACGCTTTAAATCTTCGGGTGCTTTTAGAATAACTTATTTTCCCCGTTAAGATGGTTCAGCTACTGTAGAGAAAAAGGCACCATCTCTCGCTCTTTAATCTCATTAAATGCTCGGCAAGAACAACAGCTTTGTTTCTCCGACGCGCCTTGAAACAAGCTCCATATCTCACGCGCTTGAGCGCCGCTCAGCATCTCGCCGTCGTAGACCGAGCTTTGGCTTGTTTGGCGGAGCGCCTTGAGCGCCGTGTACAACCAGTATGGATCAACCGATGAACCAATTGATCCATATATATAAGGCGCTCCGGATTATAAGGCACCGTCGTTTTTTGAGAAAATTAAAGCCTTTTACGTGCGCCTTGGAGTGCGGAAAATGCGGCATATTTACTTTAATACTACAAGAGGGCGCCGCATTTATTGAACAAACGACAGGCGGACAAGAGCAGCCGTTTCGAGCGAGAGCCTTATTGTTTTATTAATCTGTCCGTTTAAATTGTTTGTGCTTCATCAACTAATGTTTCACATAACTAATGTGCCGCATCATAAATAATTTTATATTAATTTCAAACTTTTTAAAATGAAAAGTTAAAAAACTAATTATACCTCTCGCTGCCCACCTGCAGTACCTTCGGCCGCGGCCCACACTTTG